TGGAGGCCTTCCGAACCTCCGATTTTGATTTCGTAAAAACCCAAACTCTCAGAAAATTACAACCCAGTCAACACTTAATTATCTCAAGTAAATTTACAATTTTAACACAATTAAACCATCTAATCATTGTTTTAAGATTATGCCTAAAACCTTTAAAATTAAGGGATATAAGTTCAATCCCGTATCATATTTATGCCTCGAATTCCCATAATCTCCTTACAAATTCATTAGAGTACTCACTATCTAATTACCCTACAGAGTTAAAACCTCAACAACAGATTTTGACAACGAATGCCTAATTTCCTTTACTCTCAAATCAACCTCAAACCTATCAGACCATCAGTTCGAATTCCTATACAATTAAAACCTCAATAATAGATTTGGCCATGAAGGCCTACTTTCTCTCAAACCCAAATCGACCTCAAACCTATCAGACCATCAGTTCAAATCCCTATATAGTTAAAACCTCAATAATATATTTTGGCCATTGTTGCACCCCAAAATTTGCCTAACTTTTTTTTTTCTTACTTGGTTTATGTTTCATTGCATAAGCATATCATTGATCTAACATTTACATAGCATAGCATGATTCATTTAACAGGGGATCAAGTGTGGAGCCTATCTAGAGGTCTTATTCAAGCTTGAGAAGTCACCATAATCATCATGAAGAAGGTTGGGTTTTTAAGGAGTTCATTTGTTTGTATGGGGTTAGTCTCCTAATTTGAGGACCAGTTGAAGATCATCAAGGGATAGTGAGGTCTTGACCAAGGTGAGAGGGTGTGAGTAGAGCCCATTGAAGTTCCTTGAGGGTCATGGTGGAGCTCAATCAAGTCATTGTGCCAAGTGTGAAGAGTCACAGTTAAGGGTATTGTAAGTAGGGTTTTCATCTGAGTAACCCTAAGTTAACTGTGCAATTGAAGAGGATCAAAAGTTCATTTTTGAGTCTTTACGATCATGGATAGTTGTGTTAAGACACATGAGATGATATTCCAAGATCTATGCAAGAAAATTTCAAGGTGTGAGGAGTTGCTAAATTAGGGTTCTCAGGGTAAAATTCCCTTTTTAGTGCCTAACTTCAAGACCACCTATCTCAATATGCAAGTTTCATATCCACTTTTGGATAACATGAAACTTGTAGAGCATGCTCTTAGCTTTAATTTGAGTACTAGAAGTCCTCCACTGGATTTATAGAACTCAAGTTATGGTCCAGACAAGTTACAGGTCATTTGAGGAATGTGAAATTTGTCTGTGAAAGTTCACCAACTTCCAAGGAACTTTTGACCTAGGAGGGTGTTTCTCCTAAACTTTTGGCCAACACGAAAGTTGTAGGTCTTGATATTAGCTTTCCAAATTGTATTAAAAGTATTCCATCTGATTTGTAGAACTCAAGTTATGAGGTTTACAAGTTAGGGGTATTTTGGGAAAGTAGGATTATAGGTCATTTGGCATTATAGGTCATTTTCCCCTTCTTGCAAGCTTCAAATGCAATTTTTTTCAACACAAAACTTGCTCAACCGACTCCCGAATTCAGACAATGGTTGCGATGACCTTGTCTTATACCTTTTCGTCAGGTTTTTTCCGATCGTTTCCTTTCCCGTTCGGAGGGGTAAATAACGAAAGATGGCGACTCTTCTGTCTTGTCGGCCTCGTTTTTCGCAGTAGCGACAACCATGAAGGCCTAATTTCCTTTATCTCGAATCAACCTCAAACCCTTTAAACTCTTAAATCAGCTTTAAATACATTGAATCACATATTGAAAATCATGAAGGCAATACTCCCCATACCTTAATTGCCGACTCTAAGCCTTTCTCCTTGATTCTTGGAAACCTCGCGAACCTTTTGCCTCAATCCTCTTCCTCAGAGCTCTGACCTCTATTTCTTCCCTTTTCATGGTCTAACAAGAATGAATCCTAATTCCCTCAAAATTCCTTTTTGTTAAACCTAACTTTGGGCCTTAATATCGGGCTTTCCAACTTCACCCTCACTAACTCCTCCTCAAATGTCTATTGTCCCTTCATTCACTTATATTTATTTAAATTAATAATAATACCAATACATTCATATTATATACTATTATTTAAATAAATAACCTAAATTCCATAATTCTCAATATTTCATACCAACCACCGCAAATCACCAAAAATATGAATATTTCTATTTAAATAAATATTCCAATAAATTTGGGGTGTTACATGATGCGGTGCAGAACATCCCTAGGCTACAACAACCTCTATTTATTGGTGGTTTTCATCAGAATTCGGTCTGACATCGCTAACACTGGTTGAAGCTGGTTTGGCTTGTGGGGTGTGGTTTTAGTTTGGTTGTTTTGTCTGTTTTGTGTTACTGGTGTTTCATCAGTCCATTCTGGATCTACTAGTGATGAGCTGGGTTCCGATTTCGTGAGTTTGGGGGGGATTCAGGTGGCTGTTTCTTGACTATGGGATAGTCTTATTAAGAGTTGTTGCTAATAGAAATATTGTTTGTTGGATTGTCCTGTAACAATTGTTTGTTTCTTTGTTTTAAGTGTGTCCCAATTTTTTTAAGAACAAGAGTGGTTTAGCATCTGGCCTTGAGTTTTGATGATAATTGCACATGTTGTCTTAGAGAATAATTCAATACTTTATGGTTTCTGTCTAGTGCCTAGCTGTTGCTAATCTGGATCTGAATTTGATAGAAAGATGTGTGACGTCATCAGACTCTAGTCTAAACTCTTTGAAAAGAAAACATATGTTGTGTACAAGTTAAAGTCAATATTCAAGAAGGCTCTTAGTGAAACGGTTTTGAAGAACATTTGTACTAAAGCTTCTGATTAAGACTTTGTTATTAAGCCTTGAAGGCTTTCTAAAGGTTGTGCTTCTATTGCTACATGTTCTGAAGTTTCTGAAGACAAGTTTCTATTGAACGAAGTTTTGAAGATTCTAAAGACATCATTTCTGAAGTTAAAGTTCTAAAGAATTTGAAGACAAGGTTATGTTGAACGAAGTTCTGAAAGATTCCAAAGACACCATTTCTGAAGATCAAACTCTGAAGATTCTGAATACAAGGTTATGTTGAACGAAGTTCTGAAGACTCTAAAGACAAATATGCATTGAACAAGTTCTGAAGATTCTGAAGACGAGGTTATGTTGAACGAGTTATGAAGTCTCTGAAGACAACACTTCTAAAGACAAAGTGTTGAAGACTTTTAAGATAGTTTTGCTGAACGAAGATCAAAGTTTCTGAAGACTTGGATTCTGAAGTTACATGTATTGATCAAACTACATGCTTCATCAAATCTACATCTGAAGCCTTTGAAGCTTAGAACGGAGAAGATTAAGAATGGTTGGATAAAGCGTTGAATATAAAAGTACAAAATAGTCTGTGACCTCTACCTAGACCAGGTGGCGCAAAGACATTTTTTTGTTATGATGTGACCATTCCGTTAGTAAACGTTGGGTTATTATAGCTGAAATATGTTTCTTATTATACTCTCCAACAAATTTATTCTCAAGTCCTATTAATTGAATATTTGAAGACTTGAAGATGTGGTGAGAGTGCTCAAGCTGTATGTAAGAACTAGTGTGACTTACAAGCTGCCGAAGTAAAGAAAGTGAAATAGCACAGGAGAAATGTTGTTGTAGCTGTTGTTGCAGGCCGAGAGAAAATACAAAATGCCGAAGTGCAAAATGCTGCAAGACAGAAAAAAAGATAAAGAGAGAGTAATTAGTACAAAGAGCCGAAGAATACACGAAAGTATGTGTGCAAGGCGGAAGCAAGCACCAAGTTATATAGCTTAAGAAGAAAATGCTCAATGCTCAACCAGATTAGGGCGTTACTCTACACTAAATGAGAGAAACATTAAAAGAAGCTTTTAAACTCACAAAACTTATGTTGTTACAATGCAAATTTCTAGGAGATTACTCTTAAGATAGTTTTGTAGAATAGTAAGGAGTTGTTGCTCATATCTTGCTAAGAACACTTTTTTGTTATTGTACTTCAATTGTGTCACCTGCTTGTTTAAAAGCATTTCATATACACACCTTTGCAATCAATAATTGCTGATAGTTCCTTGAGAGACTAGGGTATAGTCAGAATTCTCAAGAAGATAATAGAGGTTATCCATTGTAGTTTACAACAAGGACGAGTAGTCTAAGTTGTTTTGATATAATCTGTTAAGATTATTAAATTAAGTCATTGCCTAAGGTAAAATCACCTCGATGGGTGGACTGAACTAACTTAGTTAACAATGAACAAGATAAAATAATTATGTCAATTTATTTTTATTAGCACTTTTTTAATTTCGCACAAAAGTTTATAGTTGGTGAAATCCAATTCAAATTCCAATTTTCTTGTATCCCTTCCGTTTTGACATCTTAGAAACTAGTCTTTTGAGCAATTGACCTTTTGTTTCTTAAATTGTGTGCTGTATCTTTGATTTGATATTGTTTTTTTTTTTTGCATTCCTTGTGCTAAATTGAGCTTTTATTTCAATTTTTTTGTATTTTAAAAAAAACATCTAAAATACAATTAAAAATGATGAAAAATAAAATAAAATTAGAACTCTTTCCTCATTTTCCTTTCCAATTTGAACGGAAAGGTTTTTGATTGCATTGTCCGCAGGTCCCATAAAAATCATGTTTTCCTTTTTACATTTTTCCTTTTGACCGTTCAACTAAATGATGGAAGCCTACAGCATTTCTAAAAAAACTTTCTTTCCATCACTTTCCACCCATTCACTTTGATAAAAAACAAACAATACCTATAGAATCGCAAGATTATTTTACCCATGATGAAATTATTAACTTATTTTAATTTTAACTAAAATCCCATTTCCTAGAGATAAAAAAAACTTCAAGTTCCATTTCACACCGATACTAGAAGGGACCAAACAAAAAGAAAGCTTTGCACGCACGAACGAATACTCACAGATATTATTATATTCATTCATTTAGTAAGTTGAGTGTTCAATATAATAAGCAGAAGGAGAGAGAGTAGTGGTGGTGATAGTGAAGAGTGTGAGAATGTCGAACCCTCAAAACCAGAAACCATGGAAAGCAGAGTACGCCAAATCGGGACGTTCCTCATGCCGAACCTGCAAAAGTCCCATCGCCAGCGAAAAGCTCCGTCTCGGCAAGATGGTCCAATCTTCCAAGTTCGACGGCCTCATGCCCGTAATCTCAACTTCCCCCTTTTCTTTCTTCATCTTTCTTTCTGTATCTTGTTTTCTGAATAATGCTCTATTTTGAACAATGCACGTCTATGCATGTTGCTACATTCACACATTTCTTCATTTCTACGCATATTCTAGGGTTTTGCTTAAACTCATTATACATTTCTTGATTTTTAGACGTATTTTAGGGTTTTGCTTAAGTTCTTTAATATGTAGTATTTTGTATCAGATGTGGCATCATGCTGACTGCGTATTGAAGAAATCCAATCAGATAAAACTGTATGAGAATTTCTACTTATTTCGTTAGAAGTTATATTTGTTTAATTTTTTCACATTGGCAAGTATTTATTGTTACTTGCTACTGTTTTTCTAGAGTTGATGATGTTGAAAACCTAGAGACGCTTCGATGGGAAGATCAGCAGAAGATTAGAACATACATTGAGAGCAGTGGTGGTGGTTCTACGTCGAAGTCGAAGTCGAGTGCCGCGTCTGCCTCTAAGTCAAGTGCTAGCAAGAATGTTGAGTATGATATTGAAGTTTCGCAAACTTCCCGTGCCACTTGCAAGCATTGTGGTCAGAAAATTATCAAAGGAGAGGTTGGCTTTTGATGTTTGTTTGTGTTGTAGTATTGTTATGGCTAACTTCTTTGAGGATGTGTGTGTTTTTAATTGAACCTTATGGGTTTTTTTTTTTGGTGTGAAAATTAGGTCATAATCAGAAAATGGTTATTAAATAGAAATCTTGATTGTTTTAGACTTCAATTTATTTTGTTTATCATCATGATTAACTAGTGAAAATTAACATATTTCACATTTAGTAGTTCATTGATGATATTGTATATTTTAGGGATGGTTCATGTTTGAGATAAAGAATTTTGCCTTGGCAACTAAAATATCTTTTACCTGGTGGGGTTGCTATTCCATCATGTGTCAAATCCGGTTCTAGAAGTGTTGTGTTATTTCATTCCATTCTTCATTTTAGTATCCATATTGTATGGCCAAAATCCTCTCAAACTAGCCTAAATCATCATTCAAGTGAAAGATAGTTTTGTGGAAAAACACATGGTGGTCATGAGTGATTATAACAAGTACACTAATAAACCTGCCTAACTCGTCATTCAGAGTTCCTAAATTTCTGGATGTTTGCTATAAAAAATTGTGAAATGTGGAAGAATATAAGGCTACCACAAAGCTATGTTTTATAGATGGTGTGTGTGGTAGACACGAGTGATTACAGTATAATTATCCTAAGCTCTTCCACTCTAAAATCATTTGTGTTCCCCTTAAATCTTTTCTCTCGGGCAAATAATGAAGCTATATCTCGTAAGATTTTAGCCATTCCTCTTCTTCAGTTGTATACAAGGTTATCAGTGGCATATCACGGCGGCCAGCCGATATAATAGGTGTTAGGGACTATGGTGGCTGGCACTAAATCCATCATGCCATATTGCCATGTAAAAAAGTTGACAACACCGCCTGTCTGTATAGTGTCTAAAAGAAATAAACGCCTTTCTGGTTTCTTGTACACCTTTTGTTTTTATTAATTAGGTGGGAGATATAATTTGGAGAGGTGCTAATAATCAATTTGGTGGGTCTTGTATCCAACCAAATTTCCTCCCACTTCTCAACTTTGATATAAAGTCCTTAAAATGTTAAAGTAGTTCAAAAGAATTCTGGGAATGTTCAAATACCTACTAAGGTCGGCTTTTCATTTTCCTATAGCATGAAAGCTGCACAACACAACTTACAATAACAACAAGTTGACAAGTTTCTCCATGCTTGTTTTACTTCATTTATGCAATGTTAATATTGTTAAAATTGATTGCCAGGCATTCCGATACCAGTTTTTATTCAGATGCATATCATCAGAATTCAAAATGTTCCATATGCATTCATGATCATATTGATCCATGCATGTGTTATTGGTTTTGGATTGTCTCCTCACTGACTATTTGAAATTGGATTTAGGTTCGCATATCTACTAAGCCTGATGGTCAAGGTCCCAGGGGTTTGGCTTGGCACCACGCCAAGTGTCTCTTGGAACTATCACCATCAATTCAATTTGATAACTTATCCGGATGGAATAGTCTCTCATCTTCTGATCAATCAGCTGTCAGTGACTTAGCTAAGATAGACCATCCTATGAACAAGGGAGGTATGGTGATTTATATGTTAAAGAGAAGCTGCTTTTTATTGTTGTAGTTACTTTCTCATCGCTTTATGTTCAGGTGGTAGTGGTACAGATGTTGAGGCTGAAGGGGTTAAAGTATCCACACAACAATCCTCTTCCAGAGGTGGCACTAAACGGGGGAAAGATGCAGAGGGTGAGCAGATGTCAAAAGCTGCTAAGGTCAAGGGAGACGTGTCTGTGGGTAGGGGAGTGGCAGTGAAAAATGCTGATGACTCTGGGGAGGCAGGTGGTCTTGAGAATGGACTAAAGGCGCAAAGCAAAGAACTGTGGGCTTTGAAGGATGATCTTAAGAAGCACGTGACAACAGCAGAGATGCGTGAAATGCTGGAAGCCAATGATCAAGATTCAACTGGATCAGAGCTTGATTTGCGTGATCGCTGGTAGTTTAATCACTTGTACTTTTTATGCACTGGTCTTTAGAAACCTCTGCCTCATCTAAGGCTATACTTTCTAAAGGTTAAAGTTTATTTTTTTGAAAGGCAAATAAGTATTTCATCCATTATGTTACTTTCCTTCTAAGATGCCTGTGATTATACTAACAATAGGTTATGATTTTTTGTTGACTGGGTGTCCGCTATTATGCACAATCAATTGTATTGAGTATTTTTTGTAATGGATAAACCATAAAGAGCAAGTTTTATCCATCATTTAAATGCAAGAAAATGTAGCACGTCTATAGATATCTGGATGAAGTTAGATTTTTCAAATCCATTCTGCTTTCTTTGTAATGGGTTTTGAAAATATTAGCCTGCAAGATATGATTTATTTCCCCAACTTTGATAATTGTTAATGTGATTTCAGTGCTGATGGAATGATGTTTGGAGGACTATGTCATTGCCCACTATGTTCTGGTTTCCTGCGTTATTCTGGAGGAATGTACCGGTGCAGTGGATACATTTCTGAGTGGAGTAAATGTTCCTACTCTACATGTGAACCAAAACGTACTGAAGGGAAGTGGAAAATTCCAAAGGAAACAGATAATCAGTATCTTAAAAAGGTCTGTAAAAAGAAATTAGTTACCAAAATAAAACAAAACCAACATCTTGTGACTTATTTTTGAATATTGTTTGCAGTGGTTCAAATCTCAAAAAGGGAAGAAACCAATTAGGATATTGCCTCCGCCACCGTCAAGGACTTCTGCTGAAAGTTCAATTTCTGCAGGCCAACATCAATCATCAAACAGTGAAAGTTTGGCAGATTTAAAAGTTGCCATCTGTGGATTCCCTAAAGCTTCTATTGTATAGTTTATTTTCTTTTTTCCCCTTAACATCTATAATTAAAGCCGCAACCCCCCAAAATCATTTGAGGAATTGTCATGTATAGTTTTGTTTATAGTATTTAGTATTCATCTTCTATAAGGTAAGGTTCTTTTACAGGATGAATGGAAACACAAAATTGACGGCATAGGTGGAGTATTTCATGCAAAAGTGAAGAAAGGTATCTGCTGCACAGATCAATATAGATATAATTGTTTTTAAAAAAAATTGACATATACTTATGAGTTTTGCAATCTTTTTCTTGAACTCATAACTTACAGATACTAGCTGCTTGGTGGTCAGTGGAGCGCTCAAGGACGAAGCTGAGATGCGGAAGGCAAGGTAGCAAACTCCAATGCCAGTCTCTGGTATTTTTGTTTCTTTGATTTTTTCTATCATCACTGTCTTATAAGAGTTTAATGCATAGGAGGATGAAAGTACCAATAGTCAGAGAGGACTATTTGATTGACTGTATGGAAAGAAAGAAGAAGCTTCCATTTGATATGTACAAAGTTGAAATGATTGGTGAGACTTCTAGCATGGTCACCGTCAAAGTGAAGGGACAAAGTGCTGTTCATGATGCTTCTGGCCTACAGGATTCTGGACACATACTGGAGGAAGGGAAAAGTATATATAATACAACTTTGAATATGTCTGATTTGTCTACTGGTATTAACAGGTTGGTTAATTCCATTTTAGATTTGTTTTTCAACCTTCAGCATAATGTTTTTAGCTCTAAATCACGATATAGCAGTTCTATTCCTCGGTGATTGATGAATAAAATTGAACCTAACAGTATGCCACTTTTTTTTTATTTTTATAAAACTATGTTTAATATAAAACATCAAGTTCTCAAGTGTCCAGAGCTGACATGCTCTATATTCTGGTTTATTTGTCCTTCTAAAGTTGACTATAATTTCCAATTGCAACATTAATTGAGATTATGATACTATATTTGAAATATTATTTCAAATGTACCCAGAATACTATTGACATCTTTGTTCCTTATATTCCTCAATAAAAGAAAAAACTACAAAAGAAGTATATAACAGCAATGTTTCACTGAAATGCTATATTCTTTTACTAATAAATTAACATTGTATGTTATGGCTTAATAAGTTTTGGTTTGACAATATTTTGGCATATGATTTTGGTTCTTTTCAACAAGAAAAGTTGCAAAAGTATGTTTAATGGAAGTTTATTTATGCTGCTTTCTAAATGCTACAATTGCTGTAAAATTATAACATGCCTCAAAAACCTCCTTCACTTTTTGAATAACCGGTGTTAAATTACAGTGAAGTTCATGATACTCATTGAATTCTTGTCTGGGGAAATGAGAGAAAATGGACTTGTCTGGGAAGTTAGGCCTAATAATGCCCATTGAATTCTTTAGCACCACTTTCTTTTTGAATACTTGTGTTAACATCCCCCCCAAAAAACAATGTCTCCATTATCATTTTCTAACTCTTGTTTCTTATGTTAAGCTACTACATCCTTCAAATAATTGAAGAAGATAAAGGGTCAGATTGCCATGTGTTTCGTAAATGGGGTCGAGTGGGAAGTGACAAGATTGGAGGGAACAAACTAGAAGACATGTCGAAATCTGATGCTATCAGGGAATTCAAACGACTATTCTACGAGAAAACTGGAAACTCTTGGGAGGCCTGGGAACAAAAAACTATTCAGAAGCAACCTGGAAGATTCTTCCCCTTGGAAATTGTACTTTTTTAGTCTTCTCTTTAAATTATTTGTTTGGCGTATATCATTGTCACACATTAGGTTGATATTCAACTGATGTTTGGTTTGAACGCTTGATTTTGTAGGATTATGGAGTTAACAATCAAGGCGCAAAAAAGAGTAAAAGCTATACAGATAGCAAACTACCCCCTACAGTGAGAGAATTGATGGAGATGCTCTTTAATGTGGAAACATACAGGTCATAGTCAAATGCCCTGTAATTTTATTAGAATATGTCTGATGCAATACTAAATGTTGAGTTTTGTAGAGCTGCCATGATGGAGTTTGAGATCAATATGTCCGAAATGCCTCTTGGGAAACTCAGCAAAAGTAATATCCAAAAGGGTATGTTGACGCAATTATTATTTTAGAACTTTTTACAAGCTACTGTAGTTTTTCATTTTCTTTCGTTGGCAGTTTCAATCAATATTGTCTGGTAGAATATTATAAGATGGTAAACTACTACCTAATAACATAATAACATTTTGATAATATTTATGAATAAAAGAAATCTAACCCAAAAGAATTACCGATTCCTCAAGGTGAAATGAAGGAAATTGCTGTGATAGTTACAACCGGTTCCCAAGTTTGAGTTCTGCTCTTTTACATGTGAGTTCGTTCATAAAAAATCCATTCAAGTTAAAAGTTTCCGAACATTTGAGAGGACTAACATACTATTCAAATTACTCTCTGTATTCTTCCATTTTGCCTGTTTGTTTCAATCATAACAGTTCAAAAGGACTTTGCATCATGGACGGAAGATTGAAATCTTATTATCACAGCAGTCTTGAAATCACTCCAATTAGGATTATTTGCACTAAATTCCCATCATTGGTACCATGCTCACGCTTCCCCTTCCATAGCAACCATACTTGTTTGTGACTTCTCAACATCATTCATTTCTTTCAATTCAATATAGCGTGCTACACGATTTGTTCACCCATATGCATCTTCACCATCAAAGATATAAATCTGTTATTTTTGCCACCTTTAGTACTGGTTTTGAATTTCATTTGGTTCCCATAACTGCCTCTTCCGCCACCATATTCATCAATGTTCCTATCCCCTGTTTGTTCTTACTGATCTGCCCAAATTGATATGCCCTGCACAGTCGGCATTAGTTCGTGTTGGTGTCTAACTGTTTCTATCCGTTTTTGTCTTTCTTCCTCTATATTCTGTTCAGTTGATTGTGTTGTCTCATGGTTAGCAGGCCTTCAAATCCTCTTTCCAGTGCTTCTATGCATGGCTCCATCCTCCTTGTTAACACCATGAATTCTCCCAAGGCCCTAGTTCTCTGATATCAGTTTATCATAGAAACTAGTACCGAAATTGGAATTAATAGTAATAACTGACTATTATTGATGATAGAATAGGATTGCACCAACAGTTTGATAATCTAACCAGTGTATGGGAAAGACGAAAATACTAATTAACTACATTGCGTTCCCTAGAAATTCAAGAGTCTTGGGCCTCTTCCAATTTATCCTCGTGACCTTTCCTTCAGATTCCATATTTATTCAATAACTGTTATTATCATAATTGCTTCCCAATTCATAATAACTAGGTAACTACTACCTAATAGCATAATAACAACCTATTTATTTTTATGAATAATAGATTTAACAGATGTCTACTTCCTCATCCCAGGTTTTGAAGCATTAACAGATATACAGAATCTTTTTACAAGTGGCAATCCCGATTCATCAGTCAGAGATAGCTTGCTTATTGATGCCAGCAATCGGTTCTTCACTGTAATCCCTTCTATTCATCCACATATTATTAGGGACGAGGATGATTTTAAGGCAAAGGTATGTGTTACCTTATATATATATCTGAAACATATGACTGTAAGAAGTAAATAACTTTGGCAGTTGAAGTGTACTTATATGGAAGTTGTTTTATATTTGAATGCAGTAACAACCAATGATGAATTTATATTGGAACTTCATATTAAACTTGTACAATTTAGGAGTATTCAAATAGTAGTAATAATACAAGACCTGCAATAATTTTTCTCTTTTCGTGTTCAAGGAGTTAAATAATATGAATGACAACAAGTTATTTAAACATGGACTGTAGTTTGACACATCTGAGTCCCTTTTGTCACAATTTGAACAATTGTCTTGCTCTTTTGTTAGGTAAAAATGTTGGAAGCCCTTCAAGACATTGAAATAGCCTCAAGATTAGTTGGATTTGATGCCAACAGGGATGACTCCATTGACGATAATTATAAGAAGCTCCGCTGTGCTATATCTCCACTTCCTCATGACAGTGAAGATTTTCAATTAGTCGAGAAGTATCTACAAAATACTCATGCCCCCACGCATGTGGTATGTCTATATTTGGTTAACTAGAGCGAATTTGTGCATTCATATTTCTGGTGTCATTTCTCATTTCTTACAATCTATGAGTTCCAAGTTCCAACAATATCTGTAATCCATCTATACAGGACTGGAGTCTTGAGCTAGAAGAAGTTTTTTCACTTGAAAGACATGGTGAATTTGATAAATATGCTCCTTACAAGAGCAAACTTGGTAACAGAATGCTCTTATGGCATGGTAAGTTATGGTGACAGCTACTAGTTCTTGTATGTTTGCTTTTATGAATATTCTCCTATGATGCAATGAAATCAATAACAGGATTAGAGAGAATGGAAACAGTTCTAAACACGATTTAGAACCTTTAGAATCTTCCAATCTGCAAAACTCACCCCCTCAAGAAATTCTTCCCATATATCTTCTTACTTCATAGGGATGGTAAGATAATACTAGACCAGAGGGTGTTCTGAAGAATGAAGTTCTTGTGTAAAAAAATATTGTCTACCTAAAAACATCAGTTTCTGTGTTGAGTTACAAAAACTAGGATGCTTGTTTTGTGATAATGTGCATTGCAGCTGTATATGAAGATGTGTATAAATTTTGAGTAAAACTCCTATAATGACAATGTTCTCTACTTTAGGTTCTAGGTTGACGAACTTCGTGGGCATTCTTAATCAAGGACTCAGAATCGCACCTCCAGAAGCTCCTGCAACTGGCTACATGGTTTTATTTATTACTCCCTTTTTATGCTGAAGTTTTCATGCATGTCTTTACCTTTCTGTCGCATTACTCTAATCTAAATACATTCCTGCAGTTTGGCAAAGGGATTTACTTTGCTGACCTTGTCAGCAAGAGTGCTCAGTATTGCTACACTGATAAGAAAAATCCTGTTGGTCTAATGCTTTTGAGTGAAGTTGCCCTTGGAAATGTCTATGAGCTCAAAAAAGCTAAGGTAGTGGGTTTAATTCAAATTATGCTTATAGCACGTGGTTGAATATGCTTATAGCACGTGGTTGAATGTTTACAAGAGCACATGCATTCTAAATGAGCAACAGCATTGCATTCAACACTAGATTTCTTCCAAATGGATATGAACGAATTTGTATTTTCATCTTGATTCTCTTTTTTCTTTGCCAAAAATAGTATATGGATAAACCTCCGGCAGGAAAGCATTCTACTAAAGGACTGGGAAAGAAAATTCCCTTGGAATCAGATTATGTAAAGTGGAGAGGTGATGTCGTTGTTCCTTGTGGGAAACCGGTGTCATCAAATGTCAAGGCATCTGAGCTCATGTACAATGAGTATATTGTCTATAATACTTCTCAAGTAAGTTTCAATCTTGACTGTTTTATTTTTGCTTTATTATTAGGATACTTAAGTTTAAACTGCAATAAAATGAAAGTAGGAAAATTTCTACGGCCATGATATATCGAGCAATTGCTTGTTTGAATTAAAATTTAAATTACTAAATTACTAACATTTGAACAGTATTGCTATGGTACTTCCTTTTATCAGTTAACTCATTCATGTGGCTGAATGTGGACTTTTTGTGCAGGTTAAGCTGCAATACTTGCTGAAGGTGAGGTTCCATCACAAGAAATGAGGGTGAGGTTCCATCACAAGAAATGAGGGTTGAAAACTAGAGGTGTGCTGTTTTGTGATATCATCTGTTGTACTGTGCAATTTCTTTGTACATTCTCTGAGTGGGATTCTTGTAAATTCGCTTGATAAGGTCTCATTTTGAGTTCATGGGAGATCTTTCAACTTTTCTTTTGGGATCTAGTTGAAACTTGTCATGTAGAGCAGAAATGACGTTCATGATCCGGTTATGTGTATATAAGAAGTATATCTGCCAGTTTAACATCAAACTTGCCTTTGAATATGTGTTGGATCACTTCAGTAAGGGGAGTGTAAACCGAAAACATTGATAGGTTCTTTAAACTAGCATGTCATTTTTAAAAAAAAAATTCTTTGACAAATTATGACGAATACTTGACATTTCAAATAGCTAAGTATGAGGAATTATTTCCATGTTTCAACTTTTCTGTTTTGAATGATGTATGAGCCTGTCTACGTACGTGCCTCTGCTGCTTAGTGGCTCTTGTTGCGTCACTGGGATCTTGTATTGCTGTTTATCAAATACAGTTGGTCTTTGGTTTGATGTATAGGCTGTTACAAGATTATTTATTGTTTATTTTGGTATTATCTGAATGCAATTCATCTGAATCTGATTGAAGTATTTTGACTTTCAAAACAATTATTGAAGGTTTAAGAATTGTGAGTGGCCATGTATAATATTAAATCACGTCCATTCGAGTCTCTTGAGCGTGAGTGCGTTATTTTTCTTCCAAATAATCCAGATTTGATTTTAGATTCTGATAACGACCTTAAATATCTTAAATTCGCCAGAATCTAGAAATATATCTTTCAGCTTGAATCAACAAAACTGTATACAATAAGTATATTTAATGACACATTCACGACTTAGAAAAATAAAAAGTAAAAAATAATTTATATTTTGTTTGAGTCTCTTTTAAATATGTAATTAGTTCCACATAATAACTTTTAGATGAAATAATTCGAATAATTTCATGTTTATTCTATCAATCAAGGACTTTGACATGAACGGCCATTTTGAAACGGGTAATGTTTAATTTGTAATAACGTAAGATTTGTTAAAAAATGTTTAAGGTGCCTGCGTGTTCACTGAGTGTTAAATTGGTGTTAGACACTATTTTAAAGAGTGTCATGAGAATATTTGTTTGACTTTTTTATTTGACTTTTTAAATATATGATATAAGAATGTTAACAGTTAAAAAATGTTTAAGGTGCCTGCGTGTTCACTGAGTGTTAAATTGGTGTTAGACACTATTTTAAAGAGTGTCATGAGAATATTTGTTTGACTTTTTTATTTGACTTTTTAAATATATGATATAAGAATGTTAACAAATATCGAACACTTACGCGTGTCAGATTGCGCTACATCAATATGCTAAAACATTTTATAATGAGTAATATTAATTGATACTATACTTATTTTGTGTTGATAATCTATATGAATCAAATTAACTATATTAATTACTGGCTCTTCACGAACATTTAAGTAGAATATTTAGGTAAAGATCTCTTTTAATTTTACTAAATAATTTGAGTTAAAATAGTTGACTTGTTTGTCTTTCTCTTGATGATTTAATTGATAAGAAATAAGTTTGTAAATTGAAATTGTACTATTTGCCAAAGTTACTAGTTGAATTCGTATTTCAAAATGAATGACATTAAATTATTTATAATAATAATAATAATAATAATAATAATAATAATAATAATAATAATAATAATAATAATAATAATAATAATAATAATAATAATAATAATAATAATAATAATAATAATAATAATAATAATAATAATAATTATTATTATTATTATTATTATTATTATTATTATTATTATTATTATTATTATTATTATTATTATCATTTCATTTTGAATACAAATATAAAATTTGAAATAAACTATGAATAACTACCCTACAATCAAAGAAATGTGATAGTGCAAGAAACAGAAAGTGTATTTGTGAAACTAACCAACTATTAATTGCATTTTACCAAAAAAAAAACAAGGGTTTCAAACAAATGACGGAACTAACCAATTTTCAACCAACAGTCGCCATTTCAAATGGCGACTCTGCTGTAATGTGATTTTGGCCATGCAAGCATTCGCTAAAGCAAATGGCAAAATTGAACAAACTCCAAGGAATTTGCCGAATGAAATGGCGAATTAGGCTTAGGCAAATGCTAGGGTTTCGTTCCAATTATTTTTAATCTTTTGCTGTATTTAATATTTATTGTTGTATTTTATATTTTTAATTTTAATTAATAAACATAATTATTATTTTTAATTAATAAACATAATTATTATTAGTATTATTATTTAAAATAATGTTTTAATTTTTCATAACATATTTAATTTTTTCATATAATATTTTTAATATTTTCATAATATATTTAATATTTTCATATAATGTTTTAGTTAATAAACATAATTAAAACTTTTTAATTAATAAACATAATTTGATAAACATAATTATATAATTATTATTTTGTTAATAAACGTAATTACAAAATTTTAATTAATAAACATAATTATTATTAATATTATTATTTAAAATAAAGTTTTAATTTTTTCATAACATATTTAATTTTTTCATATAATGTTTTTAATATTTTCATAATAATTATTAAAGTGTATAATATTTGTAAGGGTATTTAAGACAGATCATATGTGGTTTGTAGTTTTTTTTTCTTCTATAAATACGACTGTAAACACATATATGTTTTCACAACATTTTGAGTGGAGTAAAGTCTAGAATGTCTGCATTTCTAAATCAACGTTCATCGTCGTCGTCATCATCAGCATTGGAGGAACCGTTTCAGAGTTCGATCTAATGAAAAGAAACGCCGTAGTTGTGTTTTCAGCAACAAAACCTCCGATGAAGGTGCTCATGTGGAATACACAGACGTTGGAGCATTTGCATAGGGAACTGAAGCGCTGGCTAGAAGGAGATATTGGTCCAGGAGAAAAGATTAGGAAAATCGAGAGGCTGGTCGAGGAGACAGGGAGAAACGGTGTGACTCGTGAATGGAGAAAAGTGGAAAATGATGTCGTGTCCTTGTGATGATGTTGACACCAAAGAAGATAAAGTTGATGGTCGTGATATCGTAGACGCCTTGGTGCAGTGTTTTATTTTATGTTTTTACGTTGTTGTTATGTTTGTTTAATTTATGTTGTCTTCGCGAAGTGTTATGTTTTCATGTTGTTGTTGTGTCAGTTAATTATGCCTTGGTGCAGTGTTTATGTTGCCTTTGGTATTATTTGACTGAAAATTTCTAGTAATGGAATAAAAGTTGCTATTATTCGAATGAAATTTGGTATTGATTTAACGGGACAAGCTTACATATGAAACTATGATCTGCTGCTTGATCCCACGTTAGGACATTTTGTTCGATTATGTCCTGGTTGCCGACACGAACTATACAATCTCACCAGCTTGTTTGCGGTATCCATCTCAGTTCGAATGCGCGTGCTGTTAGGCCGACCCTTTTTCTGTCTAAGCATTAAGTCATTATGCCACACAATTTCGCCTTCGTATTGAGGCCAATGGTCCTCCTTTGCCACCACTTGGAAGCTGCATGCGTATACATTGCATAGACTAATGACTTGGTGAACTGCAGAAAGAAGGTTGGTTGGGTCATGGCGCAACTTCGAACATGCTGCTATGACATGAGAGCAAGGCATACGAAATGCTTGAAATTTTCTACAATCACACCAGCTCTTATCCAATTCAACATGGTAACATCCTCTAGGCCTGCCTTCGTTGTGATCCATAGACTCGGCAACACTGAACTGACCAGTTGTACGGTCAAATATTGTCACGACGTGTGTGTTGGCCTTGGCAGCTTCCTCTTTCATGAATTCATTGAAGTATCGGTGTACAACTGATCCGATTGTAATACCGAACCCCACTTTGTACGCCTGCTATCAAAGAGTGATCCTAGCCTAAAATAGGTTGCCTTTACCAAGGCAATTATTGGGAGGTTTCAGATTCCCTTGAAAACAGAGTTCATTGATTCGACGAGGTTAGTTGTCATGTGGCCCCATCGCACCCCTTTGTCGTATGCCCGGGTCCATTTCTCCCTATCAATGTTATCAATCCATCGTCCAACATCTGCGTTTTTCAGTCTGATCTCGTCGGGATAGTATCTGAAAGTGGGTTCAATTAGTGCATACCCCGCATTGACAACTTTCTTCCGTAGCGTCTTGTCTTTGATTTCGCGCATAAAATTTTGGGCGATATGTCTTATGCAATATACGTGGGTCGAAGGAGGATCCTTCCAACCGTTGTCAACATTATTGTACGCACTTTCGATTGATGGGTGTCGATCGGAGATCAAACATAAGTTAGGTTGTGGAAAAACGTAACAACGAAGGTTTTTTAAGAAAAAACTCCAACCCCCAGCAGTCTCCCCTTCCACTATAGCGAATGCTATAGGAAAAATGTTGTTGTTCCCATCCTGTGCCACAGCCATGAGAAGTGTGCCCTTATATTTTCCGTATAACCATGTACCGTCAATTTGAATTATAGGCTTACAATATGCAAACCCTTTGACGCATGGTTCAAACGCCCAAAAGACTCGGTGAAATATTCCATTTCCAGCAACGGAATGCCCGTCTGGTGTACACGCGGGCATTGTCTCCAAAATCGCAAGAGTTCTCGGAGAGTAGTGTTTAAGAGCCACCAGGAATTTTGGAAGTTCCTTGTATGACTCCTCCCAATTCCCAAACACCCTTTCAACAACTTTAGTTCTGGCAATCCAGGCTTTTCGGTACGAAGGAGTGTAATTGTACCTTTGCACCATATGTGCAATTATGGTACTCACCTTCAAAGACGGGTTGTCGCTAACAACTGACAGAATCTCATCGCAAATCAAGTGCGAGCTGAGTTTACGATGGTCTTGCATTGGATTGGAAATTATACAAGTGTGGGACGGACCCATAGACCCTATCTTCTAGGAATCACTTCTCTTCTTGAAAGATGCTGTT